CAGCGCCACAGCGCCACAGCGCCACGCGGCTCAGCTCCGGCAGCGGTTTGCCGTACGCACGCCGTCACTAGCCCGGGACTGGCCACCGCAGCGTAAGCAGCCGGTGCGCGGCCGGAGAGGCGCTTGCGTTGCGCTGCCGAGAGTGGAGAACAACTCCGGGTACTGCCCACCCTGAGCTACGCGATGGGTGTAGAGCATCACGGGATGAAGTCATGGTAAACACCTTACCGAAATTCCACACAAGGAGCAGCTAGTTACCATAACGGTATTTTCTAAAACGTAGTGAATTCCTCTGAGCCAGCACAATGGCAAAGTTATATTCTTGTATTTAATGAGAAACTTCTGTACATTATTTGCTGTTTTCCACCGGGATGGTGGAGAAACATGAAAAGCCCTGTTGAGAATCAACAGGCAAAGTCCAACTATGTAAACCATTCATGTCTAGCTGCTCCTATGGAATAGCTAATAACCACCACCTGATAGCAGGGCTATCATCATCCCTGCATAAAAGATGATGTAATTCATGTAATTAGTCTGTGCTGATGAATAAGTATAAAATCATAAAAAATGTGAAATACTAAGTAATGAAAACTCGGGGGGAGGCAGAATTTACAAAGCACACATGGAGGATCAGGCTTTAAGATCAGGCTGTCCAACAGATCTCATGTGCATTACACGAATCAGTGGTTACACTGAATCAGCGTTAATTCAATTACAGTGGATCAGTGATTACACTGATTTTTTTTTTTTTAACATGAGAGAGGAATATCTCCGTGTCTCTTACGAGAACAATCTGTAACTACAGAACCAGGCTACCACTCAAGCATGTTGGCTTCCTCCTCATGCATTTTATTCTGTCTTTCTACTCCTGTTCCAGCAAGAACAGCACAGAAAACTTTACTCCCCCCCAAGCCATAAGAACCAAACCTAGGGCAGTCAGTCACCTAGTCACTTTTTTTTTTCCCCTTATCTAGACTTGTCCAAAGAGAAGCAGCTTGTACTGCTGTCAGCAGAAAAAAGGCAGGACAAGAGGGAGCAGGAACAAGCGGTTCACAGTGCAAAATGATCACCTTTCATACAGAATCCACACCAGAGTGATCACAGTCTGCAAGTGCTGAAACTTGAACCCCATGTTTTCATTAAACCTGTGTGTGAAGGAAGAACAGCATAAACAGACACAGACCGTGTAGTTTTCTCTGAAAGCATCCATAAATGTAATGTCATCACAGTTGCAGAACTTTTTGTTTCCTTGATGTCCTCCATTAGAATTCTTTCTTGCTTGAAATTTTACATTAATCATAACTCAGTTAAAAACAATCCTTTATTTTTCTTCTCAAATTGGGAGCAGTAGGAAAGAATACACAAAACTGATCCATAGGGATAAGAAAAAAAAGTAACAAAATATTTTTGACATTATTTAGAAAATGTATGATCTATAAAATCTGATGATCCAGAAAGCCTGCCCTAGCACATTGCTTCAAGGGGCAAGGAACATGTATTAGAGTCTCTTAGGTCCTTGATATCCTTAGGAGACCACGGATGCGTCTAACAAGAGCTTGAATAAAGGTGTATCGTGACCGAACCTTCGAATATAACCCTTCGATGTCCAGAAGCTTCTTCTGCAGAGATTCACCAAAGCTGTTCGTGGCTTCAATCTGAAGCTGAGAAACAGAGATTTGTTGCAATCATCAATACAAAATCTTCTCTTTCTGGAATGTCAGCTTATCCATCATCAACTACCTGTCAACCCTTTCACTATGAAAGGGTTTCACTATTCACTTTCTTCTCTAAGCTGCTTTCAAAAGTATGTTTGTTCTGACTCCCCTAATAAGTACTACTTGCATTCTTCCCCTATGTATTTCTCTCTAAATTATATAATGGATAGCCTTTCTACAGAGGTTTTTGGGTGACTCAGAGCATTTACAGATTATCCAAATACTACCACCTTACAACCTCACCAAGTTTTAGGAATTAAATGCCTGTTTTAGGAACTAAACAGTCTTATATAATTCAGCTTCTTCAGTTATAGTCATACAAACACTTCTTCCAATTAAAATTTTCCTAGTCCTTTAAGGACTGTTTAGGAGTTAGAGTCCATGTGCATAGACAACATTTTTTCATTAATACGTATGTAAACAATCCCTGAAAAAATTAATTACATTCTAAGTGTTTTAGCAAGATGTTACTGTGTTTTACTTTTGAACAAATGAAATAGAAGACAGATGCCTCATCACAAAACACACATGCAACTGTTCTCATAATTCTAGATCTTATAAAGGTACTTCAGACTTCACAGGTTTTTGAGCACAGTTTTTTTTCTGCGCAAACAGCAGAAGCGTCAGTGGGATTTATTCATAAAAACGATGTTTTCTTCTGCCACCTCTCCATCAAATTTACACAAACTATTAAATCGCTGTGTAAGCAGAAATCACGTCTTTGCTAGCATTCACATTCTATAGCCTCCTCAGTTTCTGTTACCCTTTTTGATCTCATTTCTCTACAGCCTAGCTGCAGCTGACCTGTAGTAAACAGCTATAGGATCACAGAAAATTGGGAATCCTGCCCTCCTATTGAGAGTCTTTCAAGGATAACTGATATTTTCAGAAAGCTATTATTAAAATATACATACCATTTGACTGGTTTACAAGAGAAAAAGAATGATTAATTTTTATTGTAAGTGTAGCTCATTTTTCATTTAACTTTTTATATTAAGACTTGAAAATGTGTGCAGCAGCACAACTGCTACCTGCTTCGTGATACTTTCAAAAAAAATTCTGCAACATTTCATTAATCCTAAATTAAGTTCTGTCGGTGTTATCACAGGTTGTTTAGAGGTGGAAAACTACAGTCGGACCGCTCTCAATAGCTGCATGGTAATCAAGCGCATTCTGTACTTTTTGGTAGACTGTCATATCTCACCTGTTCTATATCGTGCTGGCTCACTCGATTCAGTCCGCTACTGAAATCCAAGTTAGGCTCTGAACCAAAGGAATCTAGTGATAGAAAATGAGATGTTAAAATTACGTTGGCTGCTCCACACTATCTTCTCCACATCAAGTTATAAAATGAGTTTAAAACGCAGTGTTCCAAACTGGTCAGTAAACTTGTGCATTAGAAATGACACTAATTTTTTTACTTAAATGATTTAGAGAAAATACGTTAAGAGCCATAAATAATTTTGATCACACAACATGGCACTTTAAGCAAAAAGCTCCTCCCCAGATCACTTCTCCCTTTCTGACTTCCTTCCATTCCTAATTTTTATTTTTTTTAAAAACCAAAATTCAACAAACTTAAAATCTTCTGGTGAATCAATGGTGCCTACAATTCTAAAAATACGTTTAAAACCACCAATATCAATTTTAGTTCTTAAGTTCATCTTAGATTATTATATTGAATATTTTCCTATAAATTGTGTTGAATCACTGATCTGATTATATTGTTTGAACTTCACTTGGTTTGAACAACAGAAATAAAAAAAATAGTTAATTTTCCTTTCTTTTGGAGGTTAGGCATAATAGACAAAACCCAGAAGTCTATGACTCAACAATATTTGTACTGCCAATTCTCCAGCGGAAAATCCAAAGGTATGCCAAATCCAATCAAAATCTCTTTTATTAAATATACATGGCAAAATATGAATAGTAGCAAATCAGTTTTAGAGTTAACCATCAGAAGTTACTCAAAGGCACTCTGATGTTTGAGAAATTTTACCTTGCAGCCTTCCTTTCTTAAATGACACCCTGGAGGACAGCAGCGGGTCTTGGGAGTCAGTGGGTGTGCAATGCAGTAGATAGTGTTCCAGATGACGCCAAAGAATGAAGAGACACGTTTCTATAATATCTGTAGACACATCTAAGTGAAGGAGTCTAATTTTGTTGTCTTTAGATTGTACATTCACTGTATGAGCATATTTACACACGTTGAAGCAGCTGAAGATGTTAGCTCAACCATCTGTCACCTCCTCCAGCAGAAGCTTCTCACCCCTGCCACCATGGCCTGGTAGTGGATCGCTTGTACTCTCCTTACCTGCTTCAGTGCGGTGCTGGCTAGGTTACTTCAATGACTGCTACTCACCCTGAAGAGGCTTTAAACCAACACTCTGCACCACAGCAGCGAATGAGTGCTCATGTGATTTGTAACGATAGCCCAGTTGCAGAGAGAGTGAATTAAAGCTGAGATTATAAAGCTGGGGATGGCTTAAGTTACATCTTAAGTTACAACAGGTAAGTCTGCAAAAGCACATCTTTCCCAAAGTAGGTTTCAGAGGAGAATCCTGATCCGTTGCAGACAATTATTTTGTGCGTGACTAGTTAATTCCTTAGAATTACTGGTGTTTATGAGATTAGGTTTATGCAAGGTTGACCATAAGACTGGAAACTCCAGTTGGTCTGATAGGCACCTCAAAATTCTTTTTCAAAATATTTCTTCCACCACACTTGTACATATGTGAATGTTTAGTGGGTCTGGATACTGAATTGAAGAGCTGGGCTGTAATAACTCCTTCATTATAATGTTGCAGAAAGTCCTAGCAGGGTCCCCATGATAGGAATTACTAACCTGAGAATATTTATATTCTGACAATAGCAGAACAATACCCTCTTACTAATTTAATTTTCAGTATTTCAAATTTCCTTTCTGCAGAAAGTGTTGTTCGAAGCGGTCAGAAATCTAGGTAAAAAGAACCCGTTCCTATTTCTCTGCTTTTCTGGAGCATCACTTTGAGGGTCATTTCAATTTTAGAAGGATACAAGAACAGAGAGAAAGCAGCTTGGCTCGGTTGTTTATTAGCTTCACCAGGCGTCGCCTTGCCAAAACATATTTTTGGGAAGTGGAGATTTTGTCAACCCCAGCTGGCATAACTGACTGACACAGCTGTGATAAGAAGAGGAAAAACAAGAAGACTGTAGCAAATCACAGAGCATCAAAAGAAATAAGCAAATAAAATTACTTATCAATATCTAGAACTTCCTTGTCAGCTACTATTTCTTCAAAACTGTGCTCTCTATTTTGAATTTGCATAACCTTGCTGACCAAAAAATGGAGAAATTAAATGTATCCTCAAGCAACTATAATGAAAATCACAACTTTTACAAAGTTAAGCCCAACATTTTCTCCAAAGTTTTAGGTCACTCATTCTGTGGACCCCTTCATCAACAGTAGAAAGGAATATGCACAAGAACTGGAACTATTTACTTATCTAAGATGCTTTGGAGTCTCTGTTACAGCTACGTCTAAGTTACAAACAATACAGAGACTACAGAGTCAGAAGAACTATTACCTCTTTTATTTCATCTGGTGGGAGTTGCTCCACATTTTGCAGTTTGTTAACACTCTGACGATGGCTGTCATAGTAACTGAAAAAATCACTAGTGCTCTGTTTCAGCAGGTAGACAATAATGCCCAAGCCAGGCAAGTGCCAGTATGGGACCACTGATGTTTGTGTATCTGGAAAAGATGAACAATAAATTAAAAAAAAAAAATTAAAAAAGAACAAGAAATCAATGAGGTATGCTCTCTGTCAATAAAGTAGTGAAAGACATGAAAGCACTGGCAAGTTTATATTTCATACTTCTGTGTCAGAAGTAATACAAATGAAGTCCAGGCAAAAAGTTCTGCGGCTGCAGTACTAGAAGGCAGTCAGCATAGTACAGTACTGAGTGTAACACGTGAAATGTAACTAGACCAGAAGACTTAGCATTTAAATACTTTAACCACTCAGCTGCATAATACCACACTGTAAACTCTTGCCATGTGGCATAATGAAGGGTTCCAGTCAGCATCAAAACGCATCTTACGTGTCATAAACGAGGTCCTAGTTTCACATAATGTAATCCAGCACAGATGCTGAAAAAAGAAATCCTCACCTTCCCCCGTCTTGTGCTATTTATTTACATACACTTTTTTTTACTGATATACGTGTTTCTGAGGCTGCCATGCGAAGTGAATTAAAAAGGAGTTTTTGGTCACGTTTGTTTTAAATTGGATTAGTTTCCAGATTTGGCTTAGTACAAGGCTGCGCAAGCATGTGTTCCAGAATTAGAAAATGGGCAGCTACAGCACTGGCATAAAGTGACTTAAAGTGTATGTGAAACTACAGCCTCCGGTTTGTTATTTTCTACTAGCCCAAATGTCACGCCATTCAGTCTCATAAAATAGCAAGCCAAAAATCTCACCCTGACGAGGCCCGTCTCGGTTGGTTGATTCTGACAGGCTAGGAGTAAACAGACAAACAGCGTGCTGAAAACTGGGGGCGCTTTGCAACATAAGTGACTCACAGTATTCCATCACGTTTGCACAGATCTGGAAAAAAAAAAAAAAAAGACAGCATGTCAGTTACAATATCTACAGGCTTTGCAGCATCAAATTTTAAATGGATAAGTGTCAATAAACAACATGTTTTGCTCCCTCTCTTCTCACCAGAATGTGATGACTCTCTTTTCTGATCAGTAAGAAAAAAAAAAAAAAAAAGACAGCATGTCAGTTACAATATCTACAGGCTTTGCAGCATCAAATTTTAAATGGATAAGTGTCAATAAACAACATGTTTTGCTCCCTCTCTTCTCACCAGAATGTGATGACTCTCTTTTCTGATCAGTTACAGCCTCTCTTCTATTTCAAGTCTAGGACTTGCAACCTTGCCTCTTTCCCAAACCTGCTCATTAAAATTTCTGGTCAATTTTAAGTCCCCTTTGGCTCTAACTTAGTGTTAGCCATTGCCTTCTATACCCAGCCTTCATTTTGAAAATTTCTGATCAATTTAAGGCTTCCAAGTTCACAGAGTTTGTACCCAAAACAATAATGGTTGCTAATGCAAATTTAAGTAACCAAATTTTCAAGGTTTACTTTAAACAGAAATAAAATGTGGGATCCTATACCAAACAGTGTAGTGTTTGTGTAGAGCATTACCACTATCATACGCAAGTATGACAACTAAACAAATCTGCACAGCAGGTAAAATGTCACAATTTGAGACTGAAGGTTCTAGCAACTTCTTGTGTCCTTACCTGTTGCATGGCCAACTCAGTTTCATCCCTCTTGTTCACTCTGTCTCCCCCTGAATTATCATCTTGCAGTTTAAATTGACGTAGTCTGTCGGAACCACCAAACCGACTTAGAAGTCCTAAGCACTGGCGCTGCCATAAGAAATGAACATTTTAATTAGTATCTCAAAAAATGAAGTGCATGATTCTTTTCACTTAAGCGATATATATCCCTTAAAACACAATAGCAAGAGAGCAATGCAGATAAAACTTTTAGCACTTTGTAAACAAAATTTAAATATTCAAAACACAATGTTTTAACTCATCTTTAATTTAAAAATTAATGGCACGCTAAAACAGTTCCTTGAGAAATGAATGCAATTCAAGAGTGCACAACTTTGTCTTATGTCTCTTTCAGACTATTATACTGACTAGCATCAATGACAGTTTAGGCTTACCCATTCCTGCTTAAAACACCTTTTCTAATATAGACAAACTAATAAAATCTGGATATGAAGATAATAAGCTCCATTAAAAGTAGAGTGCAAAAACCAATTCAACAGTTTCATTAAAAAAAGTAATAATCAATAAATTTGTTTTTAGTTTACATGTGGCTGTTAAGATCACCAAAGTGCCTCAGACTGTAAGTCAGTTTTGTGTGGAACAGCAAAAAAAGATATCAAAGATCAAAGACTTTTTGGTAATTACTTTTGGGGAAGAGTAAAACACTTAAATCCTTTTATTACTTGATGAAAATAACAGGACAAACTAGAGAGAAAAGTTACAATAACAAATGACTGATTTACACAGTTTTGCTCAAAACAGCTCAGTTTTCAAATTAACTAATTAAAACTCCTTATAACAAAAAAAAAATCATCTTTTTGCTTTCCCATGGGAATTTCTTGCTGACATGATGCAGCAGAATACCGAGTACCCCAGCATTACAGCAATCGTTTACAGCTTGCTACTTTACTTCAGGCTGGTCAGCCTAATAGTTACTATAGTTACTAATAGAATACATCTTTCTCTTGCAACCAAAAGTATTTGATGGGGCAGCCCTTTTCACAGATAGTTTTCAATGAAATATTTCTTTACAAAAGTCCTTGCTACACGAACCACAAAGCTTCAAAAACATTGCTGGATGCTGAGCTGTAAATAGGTCTGCAATGACAGCTTTTGAGCAAGACTTACTCTATCTTGGCTTTCATTCTAGTTCCTAAATCAGGGTTATTTTTAAAAGGGGACGAAAGAAATAAAACACTAGCATGTTTGATACTCCAAATTGTTGAGCTGGAGATATGCTTGTGGCAAAAGCGGTAACAGAGTATTTCTGCATTACTTCACATGCTTTGGTGTTGACCTCAAATTCTTCTTCTCCTTCACATAAGGTGAATCCTAAGCCAGGGACAGAAGCAAAGTCCCTGAAGCAACTCTGATGTTGCCAAATGTTATCTTTTCTACTTTGGCGGGGGGGGGGGGGGGGGGGGGGGGCGGAGTCCCTACTTGTATTTCACCCCTTTCTGTCCTGTCTCCATGGAAGTTCCTGTAAAAAAAAAAAAACAAACCACCCCACCTTCTTCTTAATGGTGGAAAACATCCCTTTCATAACTGCTACTAATCAGAGTACAAAACCAGGAAGAAAAACTCGCCTACGTACACAATTCTAAAAGGACAAGTGTTAAATATACAACTTTATTACCTGAAATCGGCCTATATGTCCTTGTAGCTCCATCTGCGTCCCTTCATTAACATCAATGTCCAGCTCACTCAGCACTCCTGATAAAAGATACAGCCATTAAATTAACTGTTGGGGGTTTTTTCCCCCAAAAGAAAAGAGATTTATGCAGTATATACATTTAAATACAAGCATTGATCAGAAAAAAGTCAGCCAAACATACAACTTCTATTTTGCACACTGTTTAAGGAAAACATTCAGATATGAATGCAGCTACTGGGAGATGCATGAGAGCATGTAGCTTACTGTTCTGCTACGTAATTAAAAGGCCGGGGGGGGAAGGGAGAAGGGAGGTTAGCATGAAATTTGCAGCTGCTGTGCAAAGCTCAGTATACTGTAAGCAAAGAAACATCTGGGCTCAACCTGCAGCTCTGCACTACTTTCTATTGTAGTCAGACATCTCTCCTGAACAAAGAAAGCCATTACATCAAAATAGAGAACTTATTTTGAAACTGTAAGCAAGGCTTCTAGCATGCAGAAGAAATCACTATATCCATCACAATAATTATTAGTCCTCTGTGAAGATAAGTCACCCAAGAGAAATGTCAGTATGCTAATCCACAGTGCTTCTCCCTGGAAGCTTTCTTTTTTAAATAAATAAGAATGGAGAAGACATTAACAAAGATATGGGTATGCAAACAATTTTCTGTCTTCATTTCCTCAGTCACAGAATTTGCTGAATGAAAATTCTTTTTGAAGATACCACATGCACTCTGAACACTACCATTTGCAAGTCATCTCAAAAACAAAAAGTACTTACTGTCAGGTAGCATAATGAAAAGAAAAAGGGAATTCAAATGCATATTGGTAAGGGCACTATGTCCACTGCAAATCTACCATACTTACTTCAAGAACAATTATTTAACACGTCTTTATTTTTCCTAGAGCTCTAATACCAAGAAAATTCTGTATTGTAGTAGATATTCCCTTATATGTCTTACTATTTCTTTATAGAAAACAAAGCCTGAGATTCATGCAGATGGGGCTAGGAGACTTCAAAACTGCAG